AAAGTACGATAATGAAGGCCCACTATCATCTTCAATCTCGGTGATAATGTTTTCATTTCTTCCAACAAAACAATATGAACCGGGCTTAAGGAAAGTCGCGAGAGGGCAGCACGGAGTGCTTCCGTTTCCTTTATATTAGGCGCTAAACGTTGTGATGTAAGGCATGACAAGCATGACTACAATACTATCATCTTCGAACGAGACACTTCATATAATTTCGATCAAACTTCGCCCGCCTTCGGCGGGCTCGTTTGATCTTTCAATTATATGTATAAACAGCGTTATGAGGAATAATTCTAAATAAAATGGATATAAGATTATTCTTTTTTTCTTTGCACGGTGGTTAAATACTACAATTATATTCGCGTATCAAAGAAATTAATAAAAATTTATAAAGAATGAAAAAAAGAAAATTAATAAAGAATGAATCATTCAGACTCTGGAGTTTCTAAAAACTGAGATATATAAATCCGGTTATAAGAGCCGTTCGCAGGATGTTGTGCGGAAATATGCGTGTATATATATGTATATATACGTGTTCACATGTAAATTTTGACACATGAGTTTTTGAATTGAAATTTCAATTCTTATAATCATATAGGATGCTAGATTTGCATCACATATATAAGAGATCCCGTATACCCTTTTAACTAATTTTTGAAATATTGCGAAAAAATCTCCTCGGCCAGGAGTCGAACCTGGAATCTCCGACTTTCCGAGCCGTCGCCTTTCTTATTCGGCCACCGAAGCACATGGCTCCTCTTGGCCGAGGAGTTTTTTTTTGCAATATTTTAAAAATTAGTTAGGGAGGTATGCGGGATCTCTCATATATGTGATGCAAATCTAGCATTCTATATAATCATAAAAATTGGAATTTTAATTCAAAAACTCATGCGTAAAAATTTACATGAACACGTATATATATATACACGCATATTTCAGCACAACATCCTGCGAACGGCTTTTATGACCGGATTTATATTTCTTAGTTTAAAATTTATAAAGTTGCACATGTCAGAGTAAATGAGTGAAATTTTATTCATCCGTTTTAATTCAAACTTCTTCAATCAAATATGGCTAAATAAATTATCAAATGACTGGTGTATTTAAATTGACAAAAAACCGTCTGTGAATACAAGCACGCGCGCTTCTTTCAAAAACGAGATATTCTACACAATTAAAGGTTACATTCAGATATGACTTATCTCGGCAACTTATTTAATTTTTACAGTAGTAAACATTTAAATCCAAAAGCCGCGCTTGCATAACGCGAGCTTTCCGGTCATCTCTGATTGAGTCGCTTGCTAAACTCGCGCGGAGAATAGCCGTATGATGTGACATTTTGTACTCTCGATGAGAAAAAGTTTGCGCTTGGAATTTGTTGTAATTTTCAGCCAATCTTTTTTTTTTATTATGTATTTTCGCCAGGCGAAAGTATTCACGAGCGTGAATTAGCGACTTTGAATTTCGCGAATTACATCGAGCGAGTCGCGATTTCTCCTAAAAAGCGAATTCTTGTCGCGCAATGTTTTAACGTCGTTGAATATGAAATGAATAGATCGACGACGTTGAACTCGTAAGTCTCGTCAGTCATGCCACAAAATCACGCACATTCGGATTCCGTTTATTTCTGAGATTTGATAACGGAAGGCAAAATTTAATGGAAGTTACGCGAGAACACGGATATGAATCGCGAGCCATGTTTTGCCGAGATTTGAGACGTTCTGACAGGCTTCTGTCACATTTCATCGTCCCGTGTTCTGACGAGTCTGACTGATAGCGCTCGGCTTTTGCAAATCCGACGAGAATTCAAACAAAATTTATTTCGTGATATCATAAAAATCATTTACGCGAGTTATTTCGTCCTAAGGCTAAAAATCTCATTACCGACGTTAGTGGAATACGAATCAATCAGAATCGGTCAGAAAACTGATTGATTTTACATTCTTGATGTTACGAGTGTCAATGTGATATGTGACTGTTTGATCTTGATTGAAATTTTTGTTTTTTTGATTACAAATATCAGCAAGATTTATATTCAAAATCCATCACAACAAAAATCCATCAACAAAAGAATCTTTTATTTCCACGCACACAGATTCTTCACATTTGACGCACAAAAAGGCTATTTTCGACACTGTTGCCCTAAGTGCTGGAGCGCGAAACGAGCATGTGTTTCATCCGCAGCGTTTTAGTCTGGATCCATTCTCCACGGGAGAAACGATCTTGTTCGTTCGGGAGTCTAACGACTCGTCGAGCGAGTTTCTGCATCCGCGCACCTGATGTCACTCGAAAAGGTCCTCACCTGACGGAGGAGCAGCGATATATATTTCCCGTGCCCTGGCATCGATCTCGAAGAGCCGCTACAATACAAATTCCAATTATCTCCGCGCGGAATTGCCCTTGTTTCATTCGGGGCAAATCGGAGATCCGGCAATCTTCCCGCAACGCGCGGGATCCGGAACTCGCGATATTGATATTCTATCGGAAACACTTGATGCGCGTTCTCGAGCTACGTTCTGATAATATTTGCAGATGTTTCAATCTGGGTCACACTTGGCTATCCAATAATTCAGTATGTCTCCGCGATTTTTATTAATTCGACATAGATAAAACGGAGAGTGTTTTATTTCTATTTTTTTTTTTTTTTTTTTGTATTAGTTTTGGCAATTTAATGTAGTAGATTTATTAAAATTTTTGATTGTCGAGACCCTGAAGAATAGCCTGAATTTTTTCTCTTGAATATCAAAACAAACACACATACACATGCAAATATATGTATACATAAACATATAGAAATACTTTCTATCCGCCAACAATTCAGAGATACGATTAAAACCGGTCTTCGAAGCGCCGCGAGGGGTTGGCCGGCGCTCGTTTGTCTTAATAAAGTGCGTCGAAACCACGCTCTTCATGGTGGTTGACTTATGGCTAGTCATCTGGTGGGGCAGTCTTTTCTCATGGGGAATTTTCGTCTCTTTTTTTTTCCTCCGTTTGTGCGACCGAAAAGATAGAACTTCGCTCTCCTTCCTCTCGATATTCACCGGCTTTTCCTCCGCTATCGTTAACCCCGTCGCCGCAGTCCATCAATCGAACAGAGGATGTTGGTTAATGATAGCGATCATTCGTCATCGGGCGGATAACTATCCTCTTCCCCGCCTGACAATCACTTGTCGAATGTGAGCCTGTTATCCGGTGGAGCCAGAAACTCCACCAGAGATTTATACAATCACGCTTTTTATCGCGAAAATATATTTCAAATATATTAATTTACTTTTTTGTAGTAAATATTTTTATCTAAAATGGACTTTTAACAATCGGTCAGGAATCCGTTAATCGGTTTGCTTATAGTTTTAGAATCGGTATAGTTATTGCGTTTGAATGAAAAGATTGTTTACACAGTTTTGTTTGATTGATTCAACGTTTATAAAAATGTTAATCACTTAAAACCGACAAAGTGAGTTTATTTGTCCTGATTTTATATTTGCGATTCTTACGGAGTTGGAAATAACGTAAAAGCGATTAGAATCGCTTCAGCAACGCGTGCGGACGCACATATATACGCGACGTTGATGATTTATTATTTATTTGTGTCCATCGGTGAGAAAAGTGGGTCTCCCTAGTGGCAATGTAAATAGTGCATTACAGATAGAAGCAGGTAGTGCTCGCCGGGGCCGCTATGTTTAACCATGCTGATGTCGATCTTTCCATGAGTGTGCGCTGCACACGTCGCACGACGTTACAATCGACGATAGTGGTTCGCGTTTCAATTTGCGCCGCAAGGTACCTACCTACCTTCGCGTAGCGCGCACAATGGTTGACATATCACGATGATAAACGATGCTTTTCACAATTTATCAAATGCGACCGCGATATACAGCTGCATTACATGGCGCTAATTGGAAAAGTTTTGCTGTCATAATGAGACTTTTATTTCGCTATTTTCCCACGCATATTTGAGCAATGTGTGTAAATCCAAAGTAAGACACGCGTATGTTGGATGATCATATATATTTACCCTTCTTGAGAATTAATCACACTCGAAGATGGGTTTGAATCGCGTTAGTGTCATTTTTATACCGACGTTTTTTGTTAACATTTCAGCTTACCTCATCAGGGTTTCAAGAGCAGCTTGATACATGAGTATCAGCGATATGAAAATGTTCACGAAACGTCGGTATAAAAATGACACTAACGCGGTTCGAACCCGAAAAACATTTTCGAATGTTAATACAACACACCACGAAAGCATCAAATATCAAATTAGTCACATTATTATATCTTTCATACTGTCTTTGGGATACTAAGCTTATTTAAATTGAACATTTTTCTACAATAATATTTTGAAAAAAAAAAAATAACCATATAAGATTATATATATTTTTTTTACTTTCTGCGCAAATCAAAAGAAAAGTCATATCACTGACTATAAACGTACGGATCTCGTTATATTTCGTCTTTTTGATTAGTAAGTGTATCTCATCTGTTTAACAGCGTCTCCCGCGACTACCATCGAGAAGGTCTATCAACCGGAAAAGTTGCCGCCAAGCACATGTCATCTCGCTTACACGGCCTGCAAGTAAGTTCTCGCGCATTAATCGACCAATTACTCCAAACAATGAGGCTACACAGAAAACGTCTTTTTTTCTATGTGCAGAAATGATCCGGATTGTAGAAACTTGTTGCAACCTGTTCTGAACCACTGCGATCCGACGATGTGCGCGCGAAACGCGTGTCTGGACGCATTGCAACACTTCTACGAGAACGCCAACCACAAACATTCCGTGGAAATTGCCTTTTGCCTCTGCAGGTTTGTCAAATACACAAAGCGACCTCTCATTTACAACTTCGGTAAATCAATCGCGAAAAATCGGTTGTAGGTATCATCAAATGTATACGTTTTTAAAATTTGTTTTTTCTGTGTAGAAAACTTTGAACTTTTGACAATTTATACTAATTTTATTTGAAACAATATTGTTTTACAAAAAAACGATAAACTTATTACTTTATTATTATACGATTATATTCTGTATCTCTCATTAGTGTTAAATTATTAAAATTTATATATATAATTTATATAATTCTAAAAATTGTTTTTCTTTTCTTTTTTCTTTTTTTTTTTTATTTGCTTTTCATTGCAAACTAGTTCGGCCTCGTTTCGCAGATGTAAGCAAAAGAACCGCGCGCGTTTCGAGTTTCTCTCGCTAACGACATCCGGGTTTTGGACAGAAAAACTAGATTTTTGCGTCAAAGTGTAACAATATCATCGACCGCGTTTTTCCAGCGCGTTTCACTGAACGCTAAATGTTTAATTGGCCGTCTATTGTTGCGGAAAAGACGCGTTACAATACTAGCACACGTCACAATGCGCGTCGCGCCACGTGAATTAATAACAGATTACATTGTAATACCGAGTGGCGGCGCACCTGCGCGCGCGCAAAACGACGAATCAGCGAACATTCGCTGTTGTAAATTAAATTGCGAATTAATTGAAAGACGCGTGACGCGTAGAATAAACTCTTGCATTTTAATTATGCGGCAAAAAAATTTGCGAGATTTGTGCAGTTGCAAGTCCACAGCTTTATTGCTCGGTTATGCGCGATGCGCACGCCGGAGCTCGACTGACTGCGCTTCGCGCAGGCTGCATCGTCGTATCCGGTTACGCGAAACCGCGGCCGGATAGGCCGAAAAAAAAGACGCGTTTAACTGACAGAAACGCCAGATCACGTTCTTGATGTATCTCTCCGACGCAGTTTGAACCATCATTCTGTTAAACGTCGAACATAGATAAGCGCGATTCGGTATTGCAAAAATGAATAAAGCAAACAAAGAGTTGCTCAATTACAACAAAGTAGAATTTTACATGCTGTAGAGCATGATAATGACAACGTAATGATAAAGTAAAACTTCCGTGTAAACTGTCCGCGTAAGAACAAGTCGGAAATTCTCGTCCTCGTTGATATGGAATGAACTCGACGTTTTATTTTTTATAAATACAATGTCGTCTTTAGTAAATGCCATGTTTCCAACAATAACGTACAGACACATAGTAACGAACGCAAAACGTCTTTTTGTTACTTACAATTTTAAAGCCGAAGTTCGCAGAAGAAAATGTTGCGATATTAGACGTAAAAAGTTTTTTTTTTTTCTTTTTATGTGCGCTAATGAGGTTTTACGTAGTTACATAGTTTACGTTAACTATTATAATACACAGAGTCTTTCGTTACCTCTAGTTTTGAAGCCAAAGTTCGTGAAAAAATTTTAGTTTTGTAATTTGAGATAAAAGAAGAGTGGTTTCACGTTTTTTACGCGCTAATGAGTTTTCTGCGTGCTATATAGTTACATGCACTGCGATGTCATTACCGCACTAAGGAAACAAATTCTTCTTCTAGAATATAATTACTTTGAAAGGAAACGATGAGATGAGAAACGTATGGTGAGAATGAAGTTAATTTACGTCAGTATGTGTGCAACTTTGCGCGAAGAGCAAACAAAGGCTTTAACGCAAGCTCGAGTCGTGGAAATTAATGAGGAAGTAACAGGATTCGCGCGACTACCCAAATTATCTTCTCAGCTGCTAAACAATGCCGTATAATCGTTATTCACCTCGAAACAATGCAATTATTGATACAATCTTCCTTTTTACTGCAAAATATAAATCGTTCGAACAAAATATACATACCTGTTATATTTTACACACGCGATAATTACATTTCAAAAGTAAATAGTTTGTAAGAATCAAATAAGCTTTTCTTTCCAAGAACAATTGCCGACGCGATCTAATTCTTTTTTACCGCAAATAATATAAATTCTTTAATACGATATTTTGCACTTGATGGCATCTTAAGAAATAGTCAGTCTGAAGAAATTAAATGAGTGTTTTGTTTTTTAAGTCAATTAAGTAAAGTTGATGAAATTTTCGCGAAAAGTAATGCGGGACAAATATTGCGATGACGACTTCGACAAAATTTTCGAGGTAGACCTAATATCTTTTCTGCACGGCAGTATGAATCCGGAGGAGGCTCGTCCTTTCTAAAGAGGCTCCTTTAACTTTTAAGTGGCTTTTGGCCACAAAACAATGCGGAAACTTTCCGCTCTCGCTTCTTACTTTTATACTTCGAGTTCTCGCAATAGTCTGTTTCATCGAGTTCTTCTTTTGTTAAAACGTCCGTCTCGAAATAAGAACCAAACGACGAATAGGAAAACACGGCTGAATAAAACCTCGCTTCTGTTTAACGCTGACCAAACAATACGCGCCGCGCGCAAATTCAATATTCCTCTTCTTTTACCACGCCGTAATTATTGCGCGCGTTGATATTATTATTTCACAACGGAAAATATTCTACACAAAATATTAAATTTTTAATGCATCAAAATACAAATTTCTACGAAATAAAAATCAAATTCTTTTTTCTCGTGTGTTAATTCTGTTATTTTACTGTAGTAATTCATCGAGTAAAACCTGTTCTTTGACAATACTATTATGTAAAGTATTACTTACATTTTTCAGCATTATGTTAATTTTACTACGCTTCGACTCTTGTTCGCGACGGGTGTTTTATAGTCCATTAGAAGCTATTTTTCTTTATTAACATCATCTTTATTAATATCACAATGTTGTTTGTTTTATTTATATCTTTCTGAGATATCAATGATATTTTTTGAAGAGGAGAAATAAATTAAACTAAGATTCATAATTTAGCAATTACTATTTAGTAGAAGTTTTCGAATTTGTCACACAAGAAATAAACATAAAAATATTTTCTAAGTTTCGCGTATTATATTCATACCTACGATAATTATTTATTAATTATGAATTAGTTTTTTGGATATTTTGCAAGAGATCGTGAAAACTTTTCTTTGTCAAGATTTCTCTTCAAAAATTGTAGCGCGCTTTGAAAAATTTATAAATTTTCCGAATCTTACTATTTGCTCTATACTTTTTTTCGTGCTGCAGGAAAACAGACGGCAAAAAGGACGAGTGCATAATGGCGAAGGAGAAAATGCATCCGAGGTGCGCGGTGCGCATAAGCGACGCCGAAACGCCGGCGTGTCACAAACTGGCTCAGACTTGCAAAGAGAACAAAACCTGCAGGTGAGAAAGTGCATTATATGCGCTCGCCCGTATTCGCATTTTTGAAAAACTGGCATGTTTCTCCATGAATTATCTGCGCGTCACGACGAGCTGTATGCACAACTGGCAAAAGATGTACAGCGAAAAGAAAATGGAAAAAATACGCGTGCAATATATATTCTATTGTTTGTAATATTAATAAATATAAACAGAAAACGCAAATATTAATACTAATAGGAATTTTATTAATAACGTCACTTAAAAAAGTAAAGCAAAATGTGATTGATCGATTTGCCAAATTCACGTCATTAATTGGAAGAAATTAAATCCACTAATCAAAAACGCTATAAAAAAAATTAGCCTCAAGATCTTATTTTTTTTAAACAGTATATAATTAAAAATAAACCAAAAGATTCAAATAAAGTTTTATTTGACAATTCAAAAATCACCTGTAAAATAAAAGGTTTTTTTTTATCAGATTTATCTTAACTCTCGCGTATATTGCACACGTAATTCTGTGTGAACACGTCGTGTTTCGCTCCTTATAGTCGTGCCCGGTTCTCTCCGACGAATGTCCTCCTGGCTAAGGAAATATTGCATTAGCGCGCGGATAAATCTTGTTGAATCGCGATTTAACTTTAAAATTGAAAAAGTTCCGGTGAAACCGCGAGAAAAAATAACGGACGACGTGTTTGCGGTGTTTAATCGGGTGCTCCTCGTCTGTTTGCTCGGCGAGATAAGATCGCGTCATTCTAATTGGACATTACTATTTACGTATCAATTTTCTTTTCGTTACATCGCGTCGACTATCTTTGCTTTTGCAGCGAGAGGAATTTTGTGGAAAATTCTGTGAGAAGAGAGAGAGAGAGAGAGAGAGAGAGAGAGAGAGAGAGAGAGAGAGAGAGACAAAATTTATCTTGTGCGCGACGTAAAGCAGTTCTGGATACGTCGCGAGTTATAATAGCTTCTTGAGCGGAACATCTCTCGCGCAAAAGTAGCTTAGCAAGTTTACTCATTAAATTCTACGCGGAAAAAATTACATATAGTGCTATCTCGATAAGAATTCAAGCTTGAGAAGGCATCTTAATCAGAAGAAGAACTGCCAGAAAAAGATCAGTCAGAAAACTTTCAGCTTCTATACTTTCTGCTGACTTTTTTTTCTCAGTGATAGTAAAAGTGAAGTGTAAAGACTATCGACAATTACACAGTAGAAAATTCTTTGTATAAATATATGAATTTTTTATACGCAAGATATTGAGTGTAATAACTGAATAATTAATGATAATCATAATTCACTATGCATTTATCATGTTTTGATATTGTAAGTAGTTTTTGAGTCAAAAAATCTATTATTGTAGATTAAGATTGGTAAAGTGTCGCTTGATAATACTTGATAATACGATAAATATTTAAGACCTTGATGGTTGTGGACTACATCAATGTCGATTAGCGCTATTCCGAGTTAATTGAATTCCACTCTCCGTCTCGATCCGCCGTAGTTTAGGACTGCGATTTGGAAGAAGAGAGAGAGAGAGAGAGAGAGAGAGAGAGAGAGAGAGAGAGAGAGAGAGAGAGAGAGAGAAGTCGAAATCAGTCACCTCAAACTATTGGTACAACTCAGTTTTAGTGAGCTTCTGCTTGCGCAAGTCGGCGATGCATTATTGATATCTGTCTAATTTCCGATCAATCCGTTGCCTGAAGCTGGATAATATGTAGCTGGAAGTTATAATCGAAACTCTCAAGAAATCTTAAATATCGATCTTATAAATTTTGTTATCATCCTGTATATACAGGGTGTCTGAAAAATGTTGACATAGTCGAAGTGTGAAAATAAGTCAATCTAAACAGAAAAGTCATGTACCATTTTGCATAATTTGCAATAGTTATTGAGTAATTAATTAATACATGTGACCCAATGAGCACGTAGGAAACGATGGTCTAAAATCTGTAGGCATGTATGATTTTCAGTTGTAAAAATCAGCTGATCGCAAGAAGCTGTACCACTCTCTTGTTTGCTCCGCTTCTTGCTGTTAAGACATTACATAAAGTAAGCCAGTTTTCTTAACAACTGAAAAGCATACACGCCTACAAAATTCGGACCATCACTTTTCACGCGCTCATTGGGTCACATATAGTAACTAATCACTCAATAACTATTGCAAATTTTGCAAATTGGTATATGACTTTTCTGTTCAGATTGGCTTAATCTATTGAATTGTAGGTGGCACTATACATTAGTATACATTTGCCAACTACTCGGAGTCGACACTTGGAAGATGGCTTTCTGGTGACTATTCTAAAGTCGGCATTTGCTTTCTGGAAATGATTCTGACACAGACAGAGAGCTTCTAAAGCTCTTCAAAGCTAAAGCTCTTTGGAATAACCGATTCGGGGCCTTTTTCCCGCCAGGAGTGAGGTTGAACTCTCATTTGTTAATCATTAAAATTTGGGATTGTCAATCGTCGGCAATCATTCCATTTCAGATAACTCTGATTTTGCGAGAAAGAAAAAAAAGGTATTTATTACTTTTTCTCGACGTTCACATCATCCGTTCTCTTTGCCCAATGCTGGCAATAAACTTTTAGTAGTTTGTTTTTTTCTGATCACGCTACTCCGTCGTCTCACTCAATGTTTTTTTAAAAAACAAAAGAAGTAAAAATTTTATTACTTGATTTAGTATTTGTAAAAAGTTTTAGAGTCTTTATACCAGCGACTTTTTAAATCTCGTAAGTTTCATCTGTTTTTTTGTTTTTTTTTAGAGATAGGGAGATTCATAAAAAGTTTGTCTGTAAATTTTTTGGCAGATCGACAATAGTTATTTTTTTGTGATATAAATAATACTTCATGTTTATTTTTTTTGGCTTTTTGTTTATTATTAAGCGCATTTCGTGCTTTAAGCTAGGTCAATTTCCGTTTTCTCTCTATATATTTTTTCTTTGAAGCAATTCTCTGTTTTACATTTGATGCCGTTTTGTACATTTATTATTTTTTAAAATTTAATTTTTATTAACAATTAAATTTTTAGTCTCTTTGAAAATTCTACAAAATATATAAGATTATAAGAGTTGATTGCAGAATATTTATGGGGAAATATGCATGTATATATGAATATATGTACGTTCACAAGTAAATTTTTACAAGTGAATTTTTTGATTGAGATTTCAATTCTTCAAATCATATAGGATGTTAGATTTTAATTAGTTTGGGAAGGTATTTGGGATTCTTCATATACGAGATGCAAGATCCACGCGTCTTTAAGTTCAAATATCTCCGCACAAAATCAATATTTTTTCAATTTCTTTTTTTGAATCAAAAGATTGAACAATTCTTCATCAATCAAAAGAAACAGATTAAAAAATTCTCCAGTAGTTTTGAAGATATAAGCGTTTAAAGAAAAGCCTGACAAGTTTTTTTCGAAAAGAAGGCTTTTTGTGTAAAAATTCATAACTTTTTGTGTAATTAAGATTTGTACAAAATTCCAACGCGATTTTGTATGGATTTGTACTTTCAGAGACAAAAGTGTTTTTTAAAAATTGCAAACTTAAAAACATTTTTACAATGGGTTTTTTGGGATGTTATTTGAAGAATGCATTTTTCTAGCGCCCAAATTTGATATACAATATTTTAGCAACAAATCAATATTTAGACATATTCTTTTTTTTGAAATAGAACATTTAACGATTCTGCGTTGATAAAAAAAAAAAACAAATTGAAAAAATCTCTAGTAGTTTCAAAGAAACATGTGAAACGTTTCGGCGCGCCATGACCTAATAGATTGCTATAAATGTACATATATTTTGATAAAATTATGAAAGAAACAACAATTTTTTAATATATTAGAAGTGCTCAAACTGAAAAAATTTACTTACTTTTCGAAAGGCTAACGTTTGGTCTAGACTTGGATCTCTCAGATTCTTTTCTTCAAAATTCAAATTATGCAAAGTTATTAAACAAAGGATGCTGTCAACGACTTCTACCAATGTCTAAAGCCCTGAAGTTTTTTTTCATAGTCTTCAGATGTCGCGCTAAATTAATATCTAATAGAGACACCGGTTTAAAACATTTAGGTAGGTCTCAGAGACCTATATTTGGCACTAAAAGATTAAATATAAAAAATATGATAGGTTTAAATAATTTTTTTATATGAGTCGTTCACAGGTCAAAGTGATTAACTTCACTTTTTAAATGTTTTTAAATGTTTTTAATTTTTAATGCTATAGCACTTGATTGATGCTTAACATTTTATATTTAAAATAAATTTTTTTAATGATTAGGCTTAACACCACAAAATAACAAAAATGTTTTTATTGTAAAAGAATAAACAATTTATTTCAGAAGCTAATATGATTAACTCTATATTCTTAGAATAAAAATATAAATACAAATCATTGCAATAATGCAATTCAAGCACTTATACGAAGGTTCACTTTAGATAAGTAATTTTTTAATGTGCTAGTATATATTCGACAATAACGGTAAATTCTTTACCGTCATAAAAAAGTGAAATTTTTAAAAGTTATTTATAACTGTTTTGGCCTTGCTAAAGATTGTTTTACAAAAATATTTGTATGTTTTTTTATGTTGTCAGTTATGTACAATCATACAATATGTATTCATTTGTTGATTCATTTGTTGTCGTCGGATATTATAATACAACGGATACTTTCCACTTGCCGTTCGCAACGCTCACATCATCTGTCACAATAATATGTCTGACAAAGAAGATATTATTTATTTATATTGATAGTTTTAATATCAATACTTAAACCTAACCATAGTAATAAAACTAATAATAATAATTGTAATAATAACAGAACATTTATTGTTGATTTTTTCTAAACCTCTTTAATTATAAACAATGTATGACAATGAACCTTTTCTGTAAGTAAAAATGTTTTTGAAAGTGAATTTAATGGTATTAATTATTTTTTTAATTTTTGGTATCCAGGAAAGAGGCGTTACTGAACAATTTGCTAGATGATATGCAGATGTGTTATATTTTGAAAAAATTATTACAGACG